CATTGTGACAGAAGAAGGGTGGAAAGTATGACAGGAGGGGGCAGTGTTTAAAGAGGGAGGCAGTGGGAAAGGAGGAGGACACTGAGAAGGGAGGGGGCAGTGTGATAAGAGATTGGATATGATGATAGGGGGGTATTATGACAGGAGGGGGTAGTGTGACAGGAGGGGGCAGTGTGATAAGTGGGGGCAGTATGATAAGTGAGGGGCAGTATGACAGGTGGGGGGCAGTATGACAGGTGGGGGGCCATGTGACAGGAGGGAGGGCAGTGTGACAGGTGGGGGAGGAATGTGTTAAGTGGGGGGCAGTGTGACAGGTGGGGGTGGATTATGTTAAATGGGGGGCAGTGTGATAAGTGGTGGGGCAGTGTGATTAGGGGGGCTATGTAACAGGTGGGGGGCAGTGTGACACTGAGGGAGCAGTATAACAGGTGAGGAGCAGTTTCACAGGTTCAGGGGTCAGCTGTGGGTGAAGCCAGGGGTCCTAGCAACTGATGACTGACAGAAACTCCTAGCACCAGGCAGGATAGGAGGGATGGCTGGGGGTGGCATATAGTGGAACCTATGCCCTACCCTGCATTTTGCTACTGCAGCTGCTGACTGCATGTTTCTCCTCATCTCCCCCCCCACAGGCTTTCAGTGGCTGCAGTAACAAAATGCAGAGCATCAGTTCCATTGTATGCTGCCCCCCGCCACCCCTCTCATCCTGGTGTAGACCAATGTGACAGGGGAGCAACATGGGCTCCCTGAAGCATGGGGCCAGGTAGCAATTGTGACCCCTATAGTTACGCTTTTGAAAGAGACTGTTACTTCAGGGCAAAGTGACAGAGTCCATGCAAAGGGTTCACTCAGCACTTCACTACAGTGAAAATGCCACATCCCCGGGTAAGGGGGAGCATATGACCTCCCATTTCACAGTGCTCAGATATACCAACCAATCTGTAGACCCTAGCACTATCACATGACTGAGGGGTGATATCACTGCTTTACCTACCATCCAGCACTATCGAACACTTGGGATGTAAAAATAAAAAGTGCTAAGGAGAGCTGACAATGTGAGTATAAGTGGGTCGGGGACCTTTGCACAAACACTGACCCTTCGACTTGAATGGCCAAGATGACCATGTCTCTTTAATGTAAGCATGTCATCATAATAATCCTTGAAACTATCACAATAAGGTAACAACATTCACTTGCAATGCCTACATATACTGTTTTTTTGGTTTCTTCGTGTCATTCCATATGCCCTAGGACCCTTTAACTATTTTCAAGGCTCAAAATCATATTTTGCAAATTGCGTGCCCTGAGTCCAAATGCTAACTGGGTGCTTGGAATAATTCTGACAAAAAAATGTACAGGAATATCTGGGTGTAATTCCTACTCCAAAACATTAGTGACAGGATTCCTTTTAGTATTTAGACATGACATACGTTATGAATGAGATGCACAGACAACTATAGTCTGGTAAATACTGCAATAAACCAATAATGCAAACTTATTATTATCCTTACTAAGTAAAGTTTAAAAAGCAAAGTGTAACCTGTTTATAAGCTACAATAAATTCCTCTTTTTAAAGCCGAGTTCCAAACAAACAGCTAAATACACAGTTTCAATACATAAACTGTAATACCTGCTCTGATACCAACGAGCACAACAAGGCTTTGCAGTCTCTGAAAACTCTGCAAACTACACTGCAGATCAGCAAAACAACTTAGTTAAAGGATAAGTTCACCTTTTGTAACATGTTACACTCATATTCAGGGTGTAACATGTAATATGTTACAGATGCACCAATTTCCAACCCCCCAAGACCCCATTTTCACAGCAAGAAGGGGATCTTCTCCCCACGCTCACTGTCACAATCCAAAAAAAGTGGCTGTGTGGGTGCTGTTGAATTCTCTGGCAGTCCATTGATTCTTCCTGTCACAGTGTAACTGCCTGCCTGTATCAGAGGTACAGGCAGATGGATAAACAGACAGTTTAAAGGTCTGTGGCATTACACCCATGATCTGCTGATGGTGCGTTGCTTCACAGACTCCTAAAAAAAAAAAAAAAAGCATTTTTTTTACCTGCAAAAGACCCACCCTAGCAGTAGCGTATTAATAAAGTCATGTATTTATTATATTTTTCCTATTAGGAAGGTTTTGGTGCAGGGACATCGTTAGCACTGGGCACTTGGGGAATGTGCCTTGTATCTCTCAGCTGGTGTCCCAAGTGCCAAGGCCACTCAACATGTTTGCTTGCACACTGCAACTACACCTACCCAGTCATAGAAGTGGAGCAGTAAGTCAGTGTGCTGTGTATGCTAAAAAAAAGAAACCTGCACTCACCTAATAGAGCTGTGGTGCTTGTGGCTGCTGTGAGGTCCCTTCCTTACAGTGGAAGACAAGTTGTGAGCCTTGAATGGGAGAATGTTTTGTAGAATTCAGAGGTGAGAGCTATGGATGGGGTGTGCTTGGTGCAGAGCAGAGAACTGTAGATAGGAATGGGGTTGCTCGGTACAGAACTGAGTGCTCTGGATGGAGATGTAGGCTTTGTGTAGAGGTGATAGTTGTGAATTGAGGCTGATTGCAGAGGTGAGAGCTGTGGATGGGGGCAAGTGCAGAGCTGAGAACTGTTGATCTGCAGGGTGCTAAGTACATACTTGAGAGCTGTGGATGGGGGCTGAGTGCACAAATGGAAGCTGTGGATGGGAAGGGGGGGTAGTGCTGGGTGCCAAGGTGGAAGCTGTGGATGGAGAGGTGAGAGCAGTTGTTGGAGGACTCTGTTGCTGGGTGCAGAAGAAAGAGCTCGGAATGGATGAGAGTGTGCAGAGGTGAGAGCTTTGGATGGGGGTGAGCTGTGGATCAGGGTGCAGGAGTGATGTGGAAAGGGGGGGGGGGGGGGGCAGAAATAAGCTGTGGACATGGAGTGCTGAGGTAAACTGTGAAGAGGGGATACAGAGGTGAGTTATTGTTTGGGGGTGCAGAGGCAAGCTGTAGAGGAGGTCACAGAGGTAATTGGTGAAAGAGGGGTGTGGATGTGAGCAGTGGATGGTTACTTTTGGAGCTGTTGTTTGAGGAAAAGGAGGGGATTTTGTTTGGGGAGGAGAAGGGAGATGTACTGGGGGACAGCAAAACATACAGAGTTAAGTTTTTAAGAGTATGTAATGTATGGCACTGCATACAGGATGAAGTGGTCAGGATTTTGTAAAGTACCTTGTTCATTACATACTCTTGATTGTCATACTATGCATAGTGTTATATGTTACATACCTTCTCCTTTCACTCAGTATGATAGGGTATATGTTACATATTCCTGAACCCTACACTCTGTTACATACCCCTGACTACTGCACTTTGTGTGCTGGGATGTATGTTACAGAATTCTGACCACTCAACTTTGTGCAAAGGGCTGTATGCTACATATTCCTGACTATTCACACTGTACACGGGGCTATACATTACATAGCTTGGATTGCAGCAGTCAGCTGTTTACAAAGTACAGCATACAAGCTTCATCATTCAGGAGCATGTAATGTATGGCATAGCTTACAGATTGCAGTAGTTAGGAGTATGGAACATACCGCCTAGTGTAAAAAGAGCAAGGGTGAGGATTATATTATATATAGCACAGTATGCAGATGTAGTGGTCAGGAGTCCCTGGCTATTTAACTAAAGTGCTTATTTAAAGTAAACTCAAGCAGGGTGTTAACTCTGTGTATATACTCTGTGTGCAGAAAAGCCAATATAATGTAAGAGTTTCAACTTGTAAAAATGATTGTACTGAGGTTTATATGTGTCTATGAGACTCTTACACAAGTGGCATAATAAGTAAAGCATATTTTGTAAGGATAGGGTTGTGGGATAGGCTGTGTGCTGTGCATTCAGTGGGTACGCTTTGGTTCTAGGTATGCTGCTTTAAGTCCCTGCCACTGTAAATGCAGTTAGGCCACACTTTCAATTTGCCCAGAAGTACCCTAGGTCTTTCAGAGCCCTAGTAATGCCCCTCCTTCAGTGTTAAGTGGATAGCAATGTCCAATACAGCAGAGCCTATTTGGTTCAGAAACAGTGTCCCTCCTTCTATCAATGTAAGTGCTGCTGTACAGGGAATTATGCAGGCTGCTATTACACTAGCTTCACCCTCACGCTCTGCAAGCCATGTTTTGCACAGGCACAGCGGCACATTCATTTGAATAGGCTGCTGTGCCTCCTGAAAACACAGGGAAAAGGTCTCAGCTCAATTTTTAAAAACATTTCCCACACGAAAATTGCAAATGCAGTGCAGGATGCCACGCTGTGGATTCCAGTGCATGGGAGTGCCATTAGGATTAATGGCATCTCCATGCACCTCCTGAGCTGCAGTGCATTTATCTGTGTGGGTGGTTGTGGCTGTGGGACCTGCAGCAGCAATCACCCGCACAGGTATAAACCTAGCCTTAGGACAGTCTCACATATTTTTTCAGCTCTCTGTAAACATTTCATGTCTTTAACCACTTGCCTACCAGGCACTTATACCCCCTTCGTGCCCAGGCCAATTTTCAGCTTTCAGCGATGTCACACTTTGAATGACAGTTGTGCAGTCATGCAACATTGTACCCATATGAAATTTTTATAATTTTTTTCACGCACATAGAGCTTTCTTTTGGTGGTATTTAATCACCACTGGGTTTATTATTTTTTGCACTATAAAAACAAAAAAGATTAAAAAAAAATGAAAAAAAAAAGTTTTTCTTTGTTTTTATTATAAGATTCTGCAAACAGGTAATATTTGTCCTGCACTGATGTGCAATGATGCAGTTGCACTGATAGACAGCATTGATGGGCACTGATAGGCAGCACTGATGGGCACTAATGAGGTGGCATGGATAGGCAGCACTGATGGGCACTGATAGGCTGCACTGATGATGTGGTACTGATGAAGTGGAACTGGTGGGCATTGATGAAGCGGCACTGGTGGACATTGATGAGGAGGCACTGATGATGCTGCACTGATATGCAGCAATGCTGGGCTCTGATAGGTGACACTGATGGGCACTGATATGCGGCACTGATGGGCACTGATGGGTGACACTGACAGGTGGCACTGACTGACAGCCCTGACTGGCAGCACTGACTGATGGCACTGACTGGCGGCACTGCTAGGCACTCATGGGTGGCACTGATGGGTTGCAGAGCTGGGCACAACTGCTGGGCAGCACTGATGGGTGGCACTGATAGGTGGTACTGCTGGGCACTGTTGGGAGGCACTGCTGGGCACTGTTGGGTGGCACTGCAGGGCACTGAAAATCAGGGCACTGATGATCAGTGCTGACCTGTTCTGTGACAGCTGTTGGTTATCGGCAGCGCTTTCCTCATGCTGTGACAGCGTGAGGAAAGTGCTGCCGATAACTGGCAACTGTATTTACTCCGTGATCTGCTGTGTCATCAGTGTTTTGCAGAGAATTTATTAATGTAAAAAATCTCTGGACTTTAGAACCACTTTAACCTAGAGGAGTACATAGGAACATAGACACATGATGCACATCATTACTGCAGTTGTATCTCAAAACAATTTGTCTCTCTGCCCCTTCTGGAGTGTAATTGCAATGCCAGATTGGAAGCTCAGGACTGATAATAATATTGGAAATATACTGCATATGAAACTGACATTAAACTGGCTCAAGTTGAAGAGAACTTCCTAAAACTGCCGCTACAGGAGCTCTAACATCAGTATGTGCCTTCATATATGTTCTTTTAGATGACTGGATTAAAAAACCGACACACACAATCCAAATTCTTGTGGAAAACCTTCCCAAAATTTTGCACAAAATTATAGTTGCATAAGAGATGTCCAACTTCAAACTAATGCCCTTGGTTGTGGAATGGGATGTCTTTCTAACAGGAGTATAACGTTGTGATGGTCAGTCAGGAGCACATAGACTGTAATCTACCTTTGTGGTATTTCTGAATTGTAAGTATGAACTCTTCTAAAGGAATATCAATATATCCTGTTCAAGGATGAATGGAAAGACAGGGAAGGCAAAAGTACTCCTTTGCAGTTAAGCTGCTCCATGCTATTATGCAAATCCCTGCAGCCTCTTATTTCCTATAATCTGACAGTTGCAGGTCCTCTGACATCATCAAGTCCAATGCAGGGTGTATGGCCCTACACTAGACATAAGGACGTACAGTCCACCACTGGAGTGTAGGGTGCACTGGCTGCCAGGGAAGCAGGGTTCAACTAAGTAAACTTTTTCTGTCCCCTAAACCTATACTAGCATTTACCCTTGTAAAGCAAGGGCAGCCTTACTGCAAAAGCTAATATTTACTTTCTTCAGAGTTGGGCTTTAAAGCTGAATTCCATTTTCTACATTTTACCATATGAAAATAATTATCAAGTAAAAATTCCATTAAAGGGCAGCTATTTTGTCCCTGGGGCAATTTTAGTTGTCAATGGGGTCCCCCCAAAGTCTATTTATAAATAATTTCCAGTGTGATTTGCACATCTAATATTTGATAGATATTCGTCCAGCTGTATTTTATGGACTTTATCCATCATTTTAAAAGAACATTCATCCTAGCCAGCCACCAATTCTAAATAGGATTCATCCATCACATTTGATAGAATTCACCCATTAGCAGTGACATACCACATAATAAATACAGTACATTCCAATAACAAAAAATGATGACTCAATGAACAAATCTTGTTTGTTATTGGAATTGTTCTATTGTGTTGTATGCGACCACTGATGAGTTAATCTCACTGAAATGAATCACAAAAAAATAACGTAGGAGTACATGAATTATAAAGACATAAAAAAGCGTTTGTTTTTATTTGGACTTTAATCCCTTGCCAGTATCCTGCCCTATAAGTGGACCATGGTACCAGAGGCCAGTAGGAGGGACTCCTGCACATTTTTACTCTTTTAAGCAAGAGTTCTTCCTACCAACTCCCAATCATCAGTCGTTGACCATGAGCTGTCCATAACAACAGTGTAATGCATATATGAGGCAGCTGGGCATTAAGACCTAACCATAGTGCTGCCACATATTTGCATTATGGTGTTGTAAAGGAGTTAAAGTAACTTCTCCTTCTTTGAAGCATACTGTTCCCTCTAAACTGCTCTTATACTTTGACCATGCTGGGAGAATTCATACGAAAGTTAAGGATTTTAACATTTTTAAAATGAGCAGCGGGCTGTGATAATGTCTTACTGACCTCCAGCGAGTTGACTCAGTGTGTGAGACCTGCATACACAGCACAATATGTATTAATAATAGGGCAAAGATAGCCAGTGCTCTACCTGACTGACACAGCTGGCCTGGCTAAGCGTACTGACAGCTCTCATGTAGCTCTGGTTCCTTGAACGAAATTTTGGAGAATTGTAGTTTCCTGATGGGTCCAGGACATGTCCGAAGGCATTTCACTTGCTGCTTGTAGGTAACTCTGGCTACAAAACACAAAAGACAGCGATGGAAGATTCTTAATGAGAATATAGTCCCAGGTTAGGCATAAAATGTATTTTTTGTCAATCTTCTTGTCTCGGTACATGTATATTAGATACATTGCTAAATACAATTGTACAGTCTCTGAAATTTTCATTTATGCATTCAGCTTAGAAAACATTTGTAGCAGCAATTTCTTACTTTATTGTTGAGGAAGGCAAGAATGGGAAGAGATAAATTGCATTTCATGTTTAGTATACAAGGCAGTGTGAGCTCAGGTGTGTAGAACTGCACACACTTAATAACCCTGCTTGACAGCTATATTTTTTTTAATGCAAATGCTATTATAATTTCATTGAAAAACAATAGTAGCTTATGTTCCTTACAGCTTCCAGTACATTTATTAAGTCATTTGACTTCCAGGGGTCAAAATCATGGCCACAAAAAGGTATGTAAAGTAGCATAGAGATAAATCATTTTGCTAGCCATAGATGTTTTTGTTGCTGATATAAATAAATGTGCCGATTCAGTTTTTTTTTTTAATGAGCATACCATCCTGAAATCACTTAAATCCTTTATGTATGAACAAAGTGACAAAAGGCTTGATGCGTAGCAAGAAGTTACTATGTGAATTTCATATATCTATATTGTACCGCGCTCCAAACTATATAACTATAAGTGCTTTAAATAAATTATAAATAAATATTGTGTATCACCAATAATTCAATTAATCTTAATCTATAACCATGATGCTTAAATCCATAATTGCATAATATTTAAATCCATGATTAAAGTGAATCAAAAAATTAGTATGCACAAAAAACTGCGTGCATGGAAAACTCATAAAAGTGAAAAAATGAAGTGAAAATAAAATGTAAAAAATAAAATAAAATAAAATAAATTGAGAAAAAAGTATATATAAGTGAATAATAGTTCAATTCATACAAGTTGAGATGGTAATGTAGTTCAATCTAATCTGCGTGGTAAGTCAGTGTTCATGACATGAACCTCTCTCTCCTTCCTCCTCTCCTTTCTCCTCAATACAGCCTTATTTCAATAGGGACTTTATCCTCTAGTTGCTTGGCTTATTCCTCCATAATCGATACATACAGAGAATGGAAAAAAAGAGGAAACATAGTGTCTTATCCTGGGTAACAAATGTTTAATAAGCCTCTGATCTCCCACTCACATGGTATCAGCAAAAGTAGCGCTTTGTGTAAATATATCCAAATTCTCCTGCAAACAGCCCAGCCGGTGTGTGTGTGTTCACTCGATATACTCGCCGTTCCTCTGTGGATGCGTGATGACGTCACCGCCCCTCCCCTACGCGTTACGCTACAGGGACTCGTAGCTTCCCCAGAGGAAGCTACGAGTCCCTGTAGCGTAACGCGTAGGGGAGGGGCGGTGACGTCATCACGCATCCACAGAGGAACGGCGAGTATATCGAGTGAACACACACACACCGGCTGGGCTGTTTGCAGGAGAATTTGGATATATTTACACAAAGCGCTACTTTTGCTGATACCATGTGAGTGGGAGATCAGAGGCTTATTAAACATTTGTTACCCAGGATAAGACACTATGTTTCCTCTTTTTTTCCATTCTCTGTATGTATCGATTATGGAGGAATAAGCCAAGCAACTAGAGGATAAAGTCCCTATTGAAATAAGGCTGTATTGAGGAGAAAGGAGAGGAGGAAGGAGAGAGAGGTTCATGTCATGAACACTGACTTACCACGCAGATTAGATTGAACTACATTACCATCTCAACTTGTATGAATTGAACTATTATTCACTTATATATACTTTTTTCTCAATTTATTTTATTTTATTTTATTTTTTACATTTTATTTTCACTTCATTTTTTCACTTTTATGAGTTTTCCATGCACGCAGTTTTTTGTGCATACTAATTTTTTGATTCACTTTAATCATGGATTTAAATATTATGCAATTATGGATTTAAGCATCATGGTTATAGATTAATATTGAATTATTGGTGATACACAATATTTATTTATAATTTATTTAAAGCACTTATAGTTATATAGTTTGGAGCGCGGTACAATATAGATATATGAAATTCACATCCATACACCTGGAGAGGGTGTAATAAGTACCTAGCGATCTAAATATTTCAATTAAGCACGTTAATTAATTTAGTAGGGGTTCACTTTATTCAGTACTTAATATTATTTCTATACACCGAATTTATTGCTGTACAAGTAAGAAAACTTCTAGTGGCTCACAAGTATTTAATTAATTTGCATTTTTAAGAAGTTACTATGTACAAGGCCCTATTGCAAAACGATTAGAGGCTCATTTGGTTCTCTAGCCTCCATTGCATGAGGTTTCTGTCACATCTTTCCTAAACTGCTAAAACAGCTAATATTGTGTACTGGAGTCAGGATTCATGTAGTCACTTGGCCACATACTATATCCAGAGCAGTGAAACAAATTCAAATTCACCAAGAATAACAACCTGGAAAAAAGGATTGCAGTTGTATAATGCTCACGTCTGGGGAAGTATATTAGCTTTACTCAAGACAAGTATGATGAGGCATGTCATTCTTAGTAAGGGGATTGTGCAACAAAGACGTTTTACCCTTCTAAAACCAATATGGAGATAACTAATAGCAGTACTTCAGGATAAAAGTTAATTACAGAAGGCTCTGCAACTTTTCACTACCTGAACTGGTTGTAATGCAAACAACACAAGTAGCTATACGTTTTACATAATGTACTTGTCTGCCATAACGAGAAGTGGTTACCTCTCATACAGTACTTGACCTTATTCTCTCTCCCATAACAAGCATTTGCTGCAGATCTAAAATATGTAAAACACAAAAAAGAATTTGTGAGATAGAGCTCTGGTTTAATGCCAATGAAGCAAGTCAGGGTCCCCAAACAGTGCAACTTGTTTATGGGTGCTCAAAATAAGCACTCATTTGTATTCAATATGTGTGAAATGTATTTATGGTAAAAGGACAGTGAGGCTGAATGGAAACAAAGAAAGACAATGTAGGGGGTAACTTTTGCTCATAATGATATTTTTAGGAGCATAGATCTGGTAATTGCGGGACTCTGTATAATGGGGACAAAACATGAGCTTGACCACTTAAAAAACATAGACATTGATTGCATATAATAAGCATTATCAATGACAATGAGATTTCATTAAAAGCAATCCTACAATTATACTTACCTTCCTTTGTTCTCCCGAAGATTTGCTCAACTGGTAGGAGTCAAGAGAGGAAGCCATGTGTAAGCTCCAAATCATTGACCCTTTACCCAACCCAACCCAATCTGCAGGCACTGGGGGCTTTAGTGTCACCAAACACCAACGGCATCACATGAGAAGAAAGGAGCAAGCAGGGGCAGACTGGCAACTCATGGGGCCCCCAGACAATAAGGGATCATGGGGCCCCTGTGTCCTTGCCCACGCCTAAAAAAGCCTATGTAAAAGCCAATGAAAGGTACCAGGGCATCTCATGGGGCCCCCTACTGACTCCAGACCCACGGGCAGTGCCCGAGTGCTCGAGTGGTCAGTCCGCCCCTGGGAGCAATTTATATGCTCCCCATAGCTGGAAGTACTGATATGTTGCTTTAGTTCCCTAAAGAAGTGGCACATGAGTGAAGAGAAGAGAAGTGTAATCAACTACAAAGGTCGATATTAAAATGAATCTATACTTTACCCTCCTTGGACATGTTCTTTTTAAAGTATTTTTTTTAAACCCACCATAGGAGGACAGATATTACAAACCTTAATAATAATTTAAAACATTAAAAAAAACCTTCTTACCTGTATGAAAGAACAAATCTGGAATCAGCCAAATGTGGCATATACTGTACATATGCATGACCATCATGTAGCTATGTGCAAATACTGTATATTGTATTAATTGTTTGTGTCTGAATATGCAAATCAGTTTTTGTGGCAATCTTAAAAGAGATTTAATTGTCTATGACTTGCCCACAGGAAAAGAGAGAAAAGAGCAATATGTAAACCTTGGTATGCTTGATACAAGGTCTACTCTTGCTGATGCTGCAGTTCATGTACTTGATATAGGCACAGTACCATCTTGTAGCAGCCCATTCTTATTGGTTGCGGATGAAGTGGAAACCATTTTTAAAAATATATTTTTGTATGACACACTTCTGAAGAAGTCCCATTGTAGGATGATACACATAAAGGGGCGGAGTCTGCTATTTTAATGCTAATGGTTGTTTAGGATTCATGAGAATAGGGGTGAGATATGCATTTGGTGCCATCAGCTTGATTCAAATATATTGGATTGCTTTATAATGTACTTTTACTACACTGCTTGTGAGTCTTTTGTAATCCTATTTATTGCTGAATAATGTATTCAGATAGCACTATGAGAGTTTTTTTCCTCTTTCATATGGATGCATATGGGGTGATGAGTATTATGCAGAGGAATTTTTGTTCTGGAAGACTTAAAAACAACTTTTGATCTGGATGACTGAGCAGTATTTTATTCCTGTGAGGCTACAAGTGTATTAGACCTCATTTCCTTGTAGAGGTCAAATTTGAGCAGGTTGGAGTGACGCTGGTGATCGGGCTGCATTTCATAGTGTGTAACTTAAAGGAACACACATACCTTTGTGGACTCACCTTGTTTAGGGACTTTTTTTTTTTGTTGTGCATATATATTTGTAGATTGTTCACAGTATTTTGGTTATCTAACACTTTATCTGTGAACTTTGAGAGGTGTTTTATACATTAATACACTTTTTGGATTTATTCTGATTTTGCCTTTCTTTTTTTATACAGTGCCATTTTGATAGTAACATTTACAGTTTGTTCATCATTATTTTTATATCACTTGATTATTGAAAGCTTATTGTACAAGATTATCGTACAAATAGCAAGGGTTTGCAGTGCATAACAGTGCATAAACACACAAACTGCAGGCCTTAGGAGTGCATACAGTGCAGGGCTCAGGAATGCATAGTGCACAGAGTGCAGGGCTCTGGAGTGTGTAA